CAATCCTTGCAGCTTGCCCAATGGGCATGGATATTTGCACCCCAGAGCAAACGCTCATATGGATGCTCGCAGTTCTCCTGGGCAACGTTGGGAAGATCTGCGGCTTCTGACGGTACGATCTTCCCTTTTCGGTTCTTGGCCGCCTCGTAGAGCTGTCTGCGAAACTTCTCCATGCGCTTCTTCTTGACTCCCACCGGTACCTTCTCCTCTTGATCCGGTGGCTCCTCAACCTCATCCTTCCTCAGGCTGCGGCCCGCAGAGGCCATGGGTACGGACGCAGCCGAGTACCCGTCTCGGCGGCGATCTGGCCTCTTGAGCTTTGCTGCTGAGGTGGGCGGCTGCCCCGTTCCAAAGAGCTTGAGGGCTTCATCTTCTCGTTCCTTCTTGAGTTGCTTATAGAGCAATTTCTTCTCCTCCTTGGACATATTTGGTAAGATCTGCAGCAGATCCTGGGTGGACAAACACATTTCCTCGTCCAACTTGGGATCTCGGGTTTCATGTTTGGGCCTTGTTTTGGCCGGAGCTTCCGAGCCCGAGGCTTGAGATCGCACGGCCCGTGCTGAGATCTTGTCTCGAAGGCGATCTTGTTTCCGTTGAAGTCGTCTCTTGACCTCATCGTCTTGCTCCTCTTCAGCCAAAGATCTCAAGACCGTCATCAGCTTGACCTTAAGCTTCTCCCTAGCGGCTGACTTGGGGGCTGGGGAGTTTTGCAACTGGTACTTGCGGACCAAATCGTCCTCTTCACTTTCGGTTGCCAACTGGTGAGATGAGATCGTGTCGGAACTGTCAGAATCATAGTCCTTGATCACGTCCCAGCCACCAACCATGTATGTCCAGTTGCACTGGCGTGCTGCAGTGCCAGTTGAAGGCTGTGCCACAAAGGCCTCTTCTGTCCCTTCACGAGGCGTGTCAGCAGGTGTCTCTGCACCTTCCTCCCGTGACTTTCGCTCACGGGTGCGATCTCTGTCAGACCTGTGCTCACCTGAGGACCTTCTCGGTCTGTCTGATCGATGTGAGCGTCTTCTCCTCTTCTTGGCCTTCTCCTCCGGAGACGCCTTGGGTTCTCTCTCAGGTTCCTTTCTGCTAGGAGATCGACCGACTTCTTCTTTGACTCGAGGTGGCACTGCTGGCTCTGGTGGTCTTTCATGCCCCCTTGGGGTTGATGGTGGCTCCACATAGGTCTCCATCGGTGACTTGTCTACCGCTCCTCGTCGAGGAGGATTTGGTGGAGGTGCCATCGGGGGATGTTTGGGCGTAGCGCCCGTTACATCGCCAGCTTGGTCTCTTGCTTGGCTCTCTGAGCTCTTCCTCCGCGGCAGCGGTGCTCGCTCCGGTTCTCTGGCCGGAGAGGGGGCGCGGTCCCGCTTGGGTTGGAAGGCGCTGCCCTTCCCAGCACCCGATGCTGTTGTATAATGGGTTGCACTTTCCTTCCGATGTGGAGCGTCCTTGCCTGACTTCACATTGGGGCAGATTGCATCGCCTCTCCAATGTCCCTTTTGGCCACATGAGGCGCACGTGCTGTTGCGTTTCCGATCGTCAGGCCGGCGACTGTCTTGTCGCTTCACTTTTCCTTTCCCTTTTGGGGATTTGCCACTGTCACGGTAGCCACGGCTCTGCCGGGCTTGGGCCGTCTGGTTCTTGGCCCTCCAACCAGCAGCGAATGCCTCTTGCAAGGCAGCCTGGTCCACGGCCTCGACGCTTTCCTCATACTCGGCCTCTTCGTCATGGCTCCACTCCTCTTCTTCGGGCATCTCCTCCTCTGCCATCAGTGCTTCTTGCTCCAGGTCCTCGTCATCCGTGTTGTCTCCATAGTGCTCTTCATAGTCCCCTTCAAGGTCTTCTTCATCGGCCACATGAGCATGGCGAGTGGCACGATACGGGGCTCGACGATCGGACCTTTTGTAGGTTCTCCTCTTCGGCGGCGGCCGAGCAACCTGTTGATAGCCACGTTCCTCTTGGCGGCGGCCGCCGCTTGGTCTTTCCTCAAGGTGCACGTTCGCGCACCGGAACCTGAGGACTTTCTCCAAGGGACCTGAACGGTAAGAACCGCCGGCTGCAAAAAAGCAGTCGTACCGTTCGCGCCGTGTCAAGGAAGCACGGGTCAGCATTCTTTGGGCAAATGCACGGTCGCTGATTACTGACCCCGGGTCTTCACGCAAGTACTCATTTCGGAGTCTCTTCAGGGTCGCTAAGTAAGCAGCGATGCTTTGTCCGGGAGAGCGGCGGAAACTCAGGAAAGCATTTTGTCTTTCCTCGAATCTCTCATCTGCTTTGCTCCCATACGCATCCTCTAAGAGACGTAGGATGCGTTGAAGGCCGCCCTCCTCTTGCATGTCCGCTATCTCCAGTTGGTTGAGAACCTCTCTTGCCTCCCCGGTGCAGGACAGGAACAGCAAGACCGCCAGCTCCTTGTCTTGGATCTGGTAGAGCTGCTTCTGAGCTTGGATCGTCTTCATCCAGTTCCTGTATTGAGACCTGTCACCTGAGAAGGTCTCCAGCCGGACTTGTCCAAGGTTAGCACGAGCTCGTCCTTCAGGCTGGTCGGTACGCTCCTTGAGCAGCTGTCGTACCGACTCTGTTCTGACGGACGATGTCCTGTGGCTGGAAGAGGCTTGCGATCCTCTGGATGGCATCGAAGGTGGGCCGCCGCCACCTGGAGGTCTCCGCCTCCGTGGGCCGCTGCCCGTGTGATGCGTGTCACGCTCCGCAGGTCGCCGCCCAGGTCGCGGACCTTCTCGGGGCTCGCCTCCTGTGCCTGAGCGAGGCGTCACTCCGGTCGCTGACCGCGGCGTCACATCGACCGATTGGTCTGGTTCATGCTCCTCCTCTTCTTCGCTCTCTTCTTCATAAGTGTACTCCGTGTCATCCTCCGGATCTGGCTCATCACCCTCATCGTCACCTCCCCAATCGGGGACATCTTCTGGTGGGCCTTTGTCCGGCTTCTTCTTCTTCTCTCCGCGGTCACCCTTATCCTTCTCTTTGGAGGATTTGTCCTTCTTGTCTCCTTTCGTAGTTTTCTCCTCCTTGGTTTCTGTCTTCACTCGAGTTCTCGTTGCATTCTGCTTGACTCCTTTCAAGTCTAACTCCTTCGGATTGACCGCCGTTTGTTGACTGGGCGTTTGCTGGCTCGGCATAGTCCAGGAAGAGAACGGCGTTGACCACTGTTGGGAAGCCATCATGGGATTGTAGCACACCGGCCACCATTGCTTCCCGTCGGTGTACCAAGGCTGTCCATTGGGGCCATAGTGCAACTGGAATCCAGGCATTGTCATCCCAACCGGATAGCCTCTCTCAGCGGCCTTGGTGTTCTTCGCGGCGCCTACAGGCTCCGAGCATATAGAACCAGGTCCTCGGCCATGCGGTAGTGCATCGGCACCCATCTTCGCAGCAGGGCTGGTGGAGAGCTTCTCCTTCCCTCGAGGCTCGGCCTCACTCTTGGGCGCTGCCCTTCGCGCGGTCGCTGACCGCTTCGGCTCCGCCGATGCCATTGGTCGCTGGGGCTTCGAAAGCATCACCCAGCTCCGCTACCAATGCGGAGTGCAAAGGCAGCTAATGGGCTCACACGAAAAAGCAAAAGCAGCGGGGCAATCTTTTAGCGCTAAGCTTGACTGGTCCAGTCTGCGGTGAGTATGCGCAAGTGCAAAAGAAACATGCAACTGCTACACACCAAGCTAGTCTCTACCTACCTTTGTCTTTCACACAAGGTCAGCGAGAGATTTTCAGGTGATATTTTCAGGTTTATTTGTAATAATTCGGAATATGTATCGTAATTATTCATAATGGATTAACAATTATGAAAAATGACCAACCATTATTAACCATTAGCAATTCATCAGCTGACCCCTAGCCATTGACAATCCATCGTCGACGTTTCTTGACAAAGCCAGTCCTGGGAGGATCCAACGAGGGCGACTGGTCAGGAGTCTTGGATCGTTGTTTTTTTTGGTAACTACTTGTATCTACATATGCGACATATATATATATATACTGGTTGGTGGTTTCAACCCCTCTGAAAAATATTATTCAGTTGGGATGGCTATTCCCAATATATGGAAAAATAAAAAATGTTTCAAACCACCAACCAGTATATATAGTATATCATATAATCATTCATCATATATAAAACATACAATATGTAATATGATATCTTATATATAATATATTAATATAGTAACCCTGTGAAAAACCGGTCTATGTAGCCTCTTCCGGGGATGATCCTGTAGTTCACCAACGCAAACCTCAAAAACAACTTGGCTCACTATGGGGCACCGCCTCTCGCAACTTCGGAGGCGACAGCAACGCAGACGTCCACGACATCGCGCATGGAAGAAGCTGGAAAGGCCCAAGCTAGGGGGGAAAACCCCACATCACGATGGTGTTTGTGCAGAAATGCAGGATACCTCACAGAAAATGGGAAAAAACAAAAAAAAATATACATCCAAGAAAAAGATGGCTGATGGCTGGCTTGTACTGAACATGATCAACCTTTGTGGATTGGATTAGATGGAATTGGGGGGTTCACTTCGATCCATACCTGGCTAACACTCATGGGTGTACCAAGCCCACAGAGCTGCAGCATGTCAGGTCCAGGCAAGTTTGGACGTATTTCATACATTGAGATACATTGAGCATGTATTCAAAACATGTTATGATTATAATATTAATGATATACATGCATACAAATGTGGTACCCTCTGGTATATTAACATAGACCCTGGCAGATAGGGGTTGGAAGACTAGTTTCCACTATAAATTGGTCATTTTCAGGGTCTATGTTAATTTACCAGAGGGTAAATACTCCAATCCCTTATTTTAAAGGCTTCCATACCTCCGAAAAATGAAATCACCAAGTAGAGGTTTCCTATACAGGTGGTACCCCAAAATGGATGCTTTATATTGGAATACATATCATGGAATATCCAAAAAAATGTATGACTTGGGGTACTGTACCCCCATTTTACGAGACCCTCAAGAATCTTCGCTAGATTCGATTCGCAGGATTTTTCACTGCGCCGACATTGCAAACGCGTCGCGTCGTGGGCGGAAGCTGAAGGAGTTGGCAGGCGCCTTGGGCGGAAGTCACTCCAACAGCTGGCGCTCCAAGATGTTACGAACCTTGGCAGACAGCTGGCGCCACGCTGGAAATGGGGGAACCTGAAGATGTGGAACAGAAACCTTGGCCACTTCAGAATAATTCATGATGCAAGAATATCTTTAATATTAGATAGTTTAGTTTGGCCATCCAACTGTTTGGAGGCGCACTTAATAAAATTATGGAACAAAACTTGCAAATGATAAGCTGTTATCATTGTATAAGTTATGAGTTATGAGTGTTTAAACCACGAAAGGGTGGTTTAAATTGACAGCCATATCTGGTAGCGGAATCATCTTTACAGCCTGCTACATGAGCCCTGAAAGCCTAGTGTCTGCATCCCAAACCTCTCAAGAACGACCGAGAAACCCTCCGTTAAATTCACATAGAGCTATTGTATAAGTGGCCAATTTGGTTCGATGATTTACCTTTGTTCAATCGTGATTTTCCATAGCCATGCCAGCCATGCTAAATCACCACAGGAACATCTCACTAACAGCTAACTTAAATTATTCAGTTTCACCGTGATTTTTTCACCACAAAGGTCACTGGGAAATATCAAGTATCAATGCTGGGACTGGGACATATACCCCAGCTCCTATATAATTAACCATATACCCTCTGGTAAACTAACATAACTATGGAAAATCACCATTTTTAATGGGTAAATCCACTATAAATGGCCATTTTCAATAGCTATGTTAGTTTACCAGAGGGTAGGTCAGGTTGGATCATGCCAGTGTGAAACCTCCTCTGGGTTCCCCAGCATCCGTCTGCTGATTCTCCAAACGCGGTCGTTCCTGCCGTTCCTGTCTTTCAGGCGTATCTGCCAGTACCTGCCGATCGCGGTGATGGGCAACGTAACCATTTCATTCTTTAGAGTGTGTCAGCATGCATCATGGGCAATAGATGCTTTGCAAGAGGAGTTATCCTCAACTAATTCCAGTGATATCCCAATTAGGGATGTGACTAGTGGAGGAGTGCGGATATGTCAGGGGCCCCAGCCGTGAGAGCGAACTCAGGTTCTTCTTGTTCTGGCCTGGGCAATCACAGTCCATCTGTGGAGTAGAACTCTCAACAACCATCAACCAGGGGGCAAACTGGCTACTGCAGGATCATCCAGGATCCATATGTATGTTTTTTTCCCCATTTACATAGTAGTAAGTGGTGTTTAATGATAACCCGTACAAGTCATTTCCAGGCTTCGAAGGAATATACTGTATGCATACCCTTTCTTGGTTATGCCTGCTGGTTGTGTCCCAACCATGTATCAAGTTTAGGGCTTAGGACCATGTCCTTAGGGCTTGGTATGGTCCTTAGAACAACTCCCACTGGGGGGATGGTCCATTGCTATAGGTGCTAAAATCGGCAGTTCAGATATTGAAATTGGCCCATCCAATATATAATCTTTGAGATTGTTGACTATATTCAGAATCCCATGGATACACATTGAAGTTAAATGGTTGGTTTATTCTACTATTCTTGGCTAGTTAAATCTCCCCACCCTTTGGGAATATCGTCCAAAATAACAATTTTGGCTGGTTGAGTTCCTCCATTTCCAGTTAGTCATGGTTGTTTCCCATGAAAAGCACATCAAATCCCATCAAATCCCTATTTAAATTGATGGTTAAATCCCTATATTTGTTGAAGAGTAAACTCATCAACATCTATGTTCAGAACCATCAAATCCCATGAAAAATCCATGTAATTGCATCGGGTTCTATCACTGCCCCCCTGGCCAATTTGTCCCTATGTGTTGATGGTCAAACCATATTAAACCATGTTAAACCGTTTCATCCCAAGCTCATCTTCATATATGTTTAAGAAGATCCATCAAACTATCCCATTCAAAATGTGCATTTTAAGAATCCCTTGTGAATTATGTAAATCCTACGATGGATTACCATGAAGATCCCATTAAAAATCCATCAAAATTATCCCATATTATCCCATATGATTCCCGTATGTAAGTTGCATGATGGTAAAATTCCTCCATTTCCAATCAACCCTTGGTCAACGGTGCCGCGCCAAGCGTCGTCCGCGTCACCTGCTGCGCCACCTCCTGCAGCACCGTCTGCAGCTCCGCCTCCCCACGGCCGCTTACGGGCTCCGGCGCCGGCTCGTCGGCGCCCACCGGCCTTGGGCCGGAGAGAACCCCCCGGGGGGTGGGGACGGAGCCCAAAACCGGGAGAAAAACATGGGAAAACCCGGGAAAAACAGGGGTCAGATCCATGTTTTTGTATGGTTTTGTGAATGGTTATCAAGGTGATGTAGCTTTAAGTTGATGTTTGTTGTAGATCTCAATCCTGCGCTAAAAAGTCGATTCATGGCTCCGCTTCAAGCGGCGAAATCTACAATTATGAACCAACCAGCTAAGAGTTGGCAAAGTTGACTTGGGCCATCTTGGGCCAAACATATCTTAAATTTCCTGATCAAATATTCGTCATTCCCTCAGGATCATCTCCGATCGCCTCCCACGGGAGGGGATGGTCAACTCGACCGCCTAAAGCCGAGATGCGCGGTTTCCGGACGCCTCGGTCTCAGCCGCATCTCGTGGACACAGCTGTTGGAGATCCCTGCGTTGATTCTTTGCAGAAAATTCCCAATATGCCCAGACTCTTGAGTATTTAATACATAATATATATATAATACTACAGTTAGTAATTAGTATATAATATTATATAATATATAATTTAGTATATCCTGATTCAACGTTTCCTGAACACTGGATTTGCGGTTTCGTTTGCATCCACCCCACATCTGATTCTTCGAGCCGTGGCAAGGAGTAGTCCGTGATTGGAAGCAACACTGGCACGTCTGGCTGCTCATCAATCCTCAGAGGGTCAAAGGTTTGTTCATTCTGCCTACGTACCAAGCAATTCATCCGAGCTTTCCAGTGGAATCAAACGTGGTTTGCTGGAAAATCTCGCATTTCTTGAAGACGTTCCCAGCATTTCCCAGCCATCAACCTCCATCTATGGAAGATTTTCTAGCCATCTTTGATTACCGCAGGGTAGATGCCCTGGACCCTACAATTCTTGGTGAAACCCTTAGAAGCCCTTAGAGTCAGCTGGAAGATTGTGATAGTGGGAAGTCCGATAGATTACAATAATCACCACTACCATGCTACAATTATGTTACAATGTTCTTTATGGTGTAAATCTTCAAACCTGCGTTTTGGTCCATATCCTGTGTTTATATCCCATGATAGATATGTCCAGTGCTAGTGCCCAGTACCTACCCTATTGTGCTCTTGAACAACACATAAAGCTCGCATGGTTTCATCTAACGCCCAGAAATCAAGCATGGAAACAACACAAACATCCATTTCGAACAACAAAAAACTAGACGACGGATGGCCCGAGAGCGTAGAGGAGCAGGGTCTTCTCTTGTTAGTGTGGAGACACAATATTACAAACAATATATTAAAGATGTGTTATAGGCAGTCGAGAAGAGGAGTATCAAGACAAAATAGCAGAAGTGCAAGACAATAGTTTGCATCGCAAACACTTTTACACACAGAAGCTTTTACACACAGACGCTTTTACACACAAAAGTTTTTACACACAGAAACTTTTACACACAGAAGCGTTTACACGCAAACGATTTTTCACAGAAAAACTTTTACACACAGAAGCTTTTACACATAGACGCTTTGACACACAGACACTTTTACACACAGACACTTTTAAAAAAGACCCTTTTACACACAGGAGCGTTTACACACAAAGTTTTTACCCACAAAAGTTTTTACAGACAGAAGCTTTCACACACAGACGCTTTTACACAGATGTTTTTACACACAGACACTTTTACATACAGACACTTTACACACAGACACTTTTAACAAAGACCCTTTTACACACAGGAGCTTTTACACACAGAAGCGTTTACACGCAAACGCTTTTACACACAAAAACTTTTACACACAGAAGCTTTTACACATAGACGCTTTGACACACAGACACTTTTACACACAGACACTTTTAACAAAGACCCTTTTACACACAGGAGCTTTTACACACAGGAGCCGGGTAAAATGAAGACCCTCTCCTCTCCGATACCTCATCCTGTTTTACCCTACCCTGCCTGTACCTATCTTGCATTGTTATGGCTTCTAGTTTGCTCTTGCGTTGTTTCTTCGCTACGTGTCTCGCCTTCTGTTTTCTCCGTCATTTTCCTCTTCTTAGCCCCCTCCATTCTATTTTGCTCTCTACTCTCCTTCCTCGTACTCTGCCTTTATCGCTCCTCTTCTTCTCTTTTCCCTCCCCTCCTTTTTCGTGCTTTCATGTCCCTGTTATCTTCCTTCTCCTCTCTCTTTGTCGCTTTTACAAACAGAAAGTTTTTACACGCAGGACGATTTTACAATAGAAGCTTTTACACACAAAAGCTTTTACACAAAGGCGCTTTTACACACAAAAGCTTTTACACACAGAAGCTTTTACACACAGAAGCTTTTACACACAGACGCTTTTACACACAGACGCTTTTACACACAGACACTTTTACACACAGACACTTTTACACACAGACACTTTTACACACAGGCGCTTTTACACACAGGCAGTTTTACACACAGAAGCTTTTACACACAGAGGCTTTTACACATAGAAGATTGTGCACACAGAAGCTTTTACACAGACGCTTTTTACACAAACGTTTTTACACACAGACGCTTTTACACACAGACACCTTTACACACAGACGCTTTGACACACAGACACTTTGACGCAGAGCACACAAAAGCTTTTAAGCAGACGCTTTTACACAAACGCTTTTACACAGATGCTTTTTACACACAGAAGCTTTGTACACAAAGAAAAAATTGCAATTTTACCTCAGTTTTTGGCGATCGACCATCATTTCGTGCGAAAGGGTTGCAACGGGAACCCGGCAATCGCAATTTTACCTCAGTTTTTGGCGATCGAACCTCATTTCGTGCGAAAGGGTTGCGCGGGGCGACTTGAACTCGCACTTTTACCTCAGTTTTTGGCGATCGAACATCATTTCGTGCGAAAGTGTTGCGCGGGACGACTTGAACTCGCACTTTTACCTCAGTTTTTGGCGATCGAACCTCATTTCGTGCGAAGATGAGAAGATGTGAAGATGAGAAGATGTGAAGATGTGAAGATGAGAAGATGAGGAGAAGATGAGAAGATGAGGAGAAGATGAGAAGATGATGAGAAGATGAGAAGATGAGGAGAAGATGAGAAGATGAGGAGAAGATGTGAGGATGAGAAGATGTGAAGATGAGAAGATGTGAAGATGAGAAGATGTGAAGATGAGAAGATGTGAAGATGAGAAGATGTTTTACAGACCCCCACTATTGCGCTCAGACTCTCTCGGGAAAAACACATCCTTCAACGTTTCAAAAATGAGTCGAGGGTGCCATGTGAGAGCGTCAAAAACTCCAGGGTTTATCATCACATTCCCCATACGAGTAGCAAGAAATTGAGGAGTGTGTATGTGTAGAATCGCATATATATGTATATATGTATGTATGTAATGTAATGTAATGTAATGTAATGTAATGTAATGTAATGTAATGTAATGTAATGTAATGTAATGTATGTATGTATGTATGTATGTATGCATGCGTATGTATGTATGCGTATGTTCAATCACGTACATATATATATATATACATCATATGTATATATATATATATATATTATCATATATGTATATATCAATATATATATATATATCATAATATATATATGATATGATATATGTATCATAATATGTGTATATATATACCATATAATTACATATATTATATCATATATTATATATACCTATATCATACGTATCATATAATATCATATCACATCACATCACGTCATTCTATACACATATATACACCATATCTATCCTCTTATACACCCCATGAGACGCCACGTGACAGTGCTGTCAACGGAACGCCGCCCTGGTGCCAGAGCCTGAGGCTGACGATCAACGCTGTAAGGCTGGGTAAAAAGGCGGGATTTCCCAGAGAAAATGATGTATATAATTAGATATATATATATATAAATGGTTTCAAAATATGGATTTCATGGGATTTAATGAAGATATAATCAATATAATCCATCCCCCTAATATCCAACATCCCAAATGGTCAATATTCAAAATGGTCAAATCTCCTATGAAACCAGAAACGTAGTTTCCAGTTTCTGGAAGGATGGGATTAATTGACCAACCAAGTTTGGGATATGTTGGGATAATCTGGCTATTGGCGGCCATAAATATGGCCATAAAATTTGTTTGGGGGTTTCTATCAGATTCTATCCCATGTTTGCCCAAAATTGCCTCACCAACATTGACATAAGATCAGTTCTATCAGATCTATCAGTTCTGCCCCATGCTTGATCACCCAACTTATGGGATATTTTAATTTGATAACCCCAAAATCGCCTCAGCACAGCCACTTCAGAGCCCCAGGAACGGCTGATCTTCGTTGATCCAATTGGGTGCCAGCTTCTCCCTCTCGTCTGGAGGCCTAGGCCGGAACCGCCATGGCCTTTCCAGTTCAGGATCAGGGAAAATCAACCCCGTCCCACACAAAGTCACCCGGATTTTTCGGTTGCACTTCGCACATCAAATCATAAGAATACGAATAGAAGAATACAAACATATACATGTAGACAAGGGAGACAGAACAAACAAAACAGGGATACAACCAACACTTGGTTGGAGGTTCCAGTTCCAGCATTGGCTCTAGCATTGGATCCATGGCTTCCGGTGGGGAGCGATGGACTTTCCCGCAAAGCCACATGCTCAAAGCATGGCTTTGAAAATTTGTGTCAGTGCCATATTTCTGGATGATTAGTATTTCATAGAAGAAAAACGAAATCTAATTGCCAGTCAGGCCATGTTTTGTTGTTCAGCGACTGTGGTGAAGCCCCTTCGGGGCGCAAACTTTTGAAAGGTTGAACACCGAGAACCATAATGGAGGTATTCCAAAGCGGCGGATGATATTGGGGCAGAAGTCGAAGTCTGGGATGCCTGATGAACTCGCTATATGGCTATGGATCAATTCGGGAAGTTGGAAACACTGCTTTGGGTTACTTTCACTAGAAAACTTGCCCGTTTTTGGGCAGATACCCTGTTCTTGATTCTGCATGCCGCATGCCCCTATAATAGATGCAGCCACATAATATATATATATATATATAATATTATATAATATTATATTATAATATATTATATAATATTACATTATATGTTATAAAATATTATATAATATTAAATAATATTATATTATAATATTATTAATATATCCTTCTATGGTACCTGGAAAATGAGTTACCCGAATTGAGATGTAAGGGCCCAATGGTTCAGCACAAACAAGCGCAAATTGACTGGTCAGACTTTTTGATATCTACTTATCTACCCTCCACTAGAGGTACAAGAACTGATCTTGGACTCTGGAGCTGTCACCACCACAGAGTGGATCGCCCCACGTCACCACGCTTCCATCTGCCAAGATTGCAGCAAAAGCATTATCTGTAGCATTAATCTTCAGAACGTTCCTGAGCTCTTTCTGGACTCTGGAGCTGTCACCACCTCGTTTTGGATCGCCCCAAGTCACCACAGTCCCATCTGCCAAAATCCCAGCAAAAGCACTATGTGTGCCACAAATCTGTTGAACATTGATGAGCTGATCTTGGACTCTGGAGCTGTCACCACCTTTGCCTGGATGGCCCCAGGTCACCACGCTTCCATCAAATAAAATGGCGGCAAAAGCACCCCATGTGCCACAAATGCGCTGAATATGTTTGAGCTGATCTTGGACGCTGGAGCTGTCACCGCCTGTGACTGGATCGCCCCAGGTCACCACGCTTCCATGCACCAAAACGGCAGCGAAAGCAAAGTCTGTGCCACAAATCTGCTGAACATTCCTCAGCTGATCTTGGACTCCAGAGCTGTCACCGCCATAGTCTCGATGGCCCCAGGTCACTACGGTTCCATCTGCCAAAACGGCAGCGAAAGCAAAGTCTGTGCCACAAATCTGCTGAACATTCCTCAGCTGATCTTGGACTCCAGAGCTGTCACCGCCATAGTCTCGATGGCCCCAGGTCACTACGGTTCCATCTGCCAAAATGGCAGCAAAAGCATGGTCTGTGTTACAAATCTGTTGCACGTTCTTCAGCTGATCTTGGACTCCAGAGCTGTCACCACCTTCTTGTGGACGGCCCCAGGTCACCACGCTTCCATCTGCCAAAATGGCAGCAAAAGCATGGTCTGTGTTACAAATCTGCTGCACGTTCTTCAGCTGATCTTGGACTCCGGAGCTGTCACCGCCGAAGTCTGGATGGCCCCAGGTCACCACGCTTCCATCCACCAAAACGGCAGCGAAAGCATAGTTTGTGCCACAAATCTGCCCAACATTTTTGAGCTGATCACGGACTCTGGAACTGTCACCACCAAAGTCTAGATGGCCCCAGGTGACAACCCTGTCACCTCCACCACACCACAAAGCAAACGCACCCTGAGCTGCAGCTATCTTTGGCTGCAGTGCAACAGCAGTAAGGCTGTCTCCTTCTTGAAGCCCAGAGAGTCGCAGAGATTCTGTTGGATATAAAAGACGCCCGCCAGGCGCAGCAAGCCGCAAGAAACGTTGCCCAAAAATTCGTTGTGCCGCTATGTTCAAGTCAGCAATGGTGCCAAACAGCAAGGCCGATATGGTTTCACTGCGTCCACTTGGCAAGGAGACCTCAAGTTTGATGGAACTTTCAGCCACCTCAACGGTGACGGCTTTGCGCTTCATGGCATGGCTGCAACGGTGTAGCGTTGAGTTGGTGTGTGTGATGTGATGTGATGTGATGTGATGTGATGTGATGTGATGTGATGTGATGTGATGTGATGAGATGTGAAGTGGTGTGGTGTGATGTGATGTGGTGTGGTGTGGTGTGGTGTGAAGGAATGGAATGGAGTGGAATGGAATGGAATGGAATGGAATATCATGTAATGTACTGGAATGGCACGGAATGGCATGGAATGGCATGGAATGGAATGGAATGCATGTATGTAAAATAGTTGAAACATGTAGCTCATTGCATCTGAAAATTAAATGCAAACATCTCCCTGACAGCCGCATTATTCATTTCATCATGAAAAACCATAGCCCTCATAGTATGCCAAACCCAGTATTGTTTCCCATATATAAATATGGCCATCGTGTAGTAAGGCCCAAAAAAAGAAACAAGTTCATCACTGGTTGGTGGTTTCAATGGTTTCAATCCCTTTGAAAAATATTAGTCAGTTGGGATGATTATTCCCAATATATGGAAAGTCATAAAATTCATGTTCCAAACCACCAACCAGATCACTATTTTCGAATCGGATCTTACTTTTTTCTGCATCTTGTCAGGGGTTGCTTAATCCAGCCGCCAGAAATCCTCGGCGCGACCGTCACCCATCTTTCACTCCAACTCCCAACTGAAGTAATCAACTGATGCTTGCGAAATTCCCATTCTTGGTTACAACCACCACTATATACCATCTGGATATTTAACAGTTCGCCATGGAAAATCACCATTTTTAAGAACGGTAAACCATCTATTTCTATGGGCCATTTCCCATGGCTATGTTAAATAACCAGAGGGTAGATCATCAAACGAATCTATCCTAGTCTATCCTCATAACGTACCGTCGGAAATCCAGCCATGTCCTGAGGATTCTATCTAGTGCCGAAAAACGCATCGAAAGTCTACGGTGAAACTTTGAAACCTTCAAATATAGTGGAATTCAACGGGATTGCATCAACATGGTCATGGTCATGGTCATGGTCATGGTCGTCGTCGTCGTCGTCGTCATCATCATCATCATCAATGGCATTCTCGATTATCAACATTTATCAACCATCCATTTTGGGGATCCCCCATTTTAGGAAACCTCCATATCATCTAATCTCTTCATGAAGTAAGAATAAGTCAGACCTCAGACCGTCACGGTCACGGTCACGTCTCCGACCGTGAAACGCCCAGGGACATCTCCAAGAAGCGCATGCGAGCCTCGAAGACCAGATCCATTCCTGAGGAGCAAAGATGGGAACCCAAGACATCCAGCAAAACATGGGCAAAATATGGGCAAAACTACCCTCTGGTAAATTAACATAGCTATGGAAAATCACCATGTTTAATGGGAAAATCCACTATGAATGGCCATTTTCAATAGCTACGTTAAATTATCAGAGGGTATATATGATGATGTCTCTATTTTGGCGAAACTAGAGTTGTATCTTTATTTTACCATTGCCATAAATAGAGACATATGGGCAAAACATTGCAAACCTATATATTTCTTTAGATTTTCTCCAGATGATTTTTCTAAGTGTCGAGTTGTATCGATTTATGGCAAAGTTAAGCCACGTGTATTATTCCCGAGCTTCGCCCAGTATCCCAGGTGGTTCTTTAAGTCAAAGCCAGCACCCAAAATCCCTCAACCAGTCCCAGAAGTCCCATGGGTCCAACAAAAATCCGTCGAGTCTCCATGAAATCTTTTCAGTTCGTCTTTATGCGCCTGCCGTGAACCAGTCACGTTGTTAAGCGAAGCGCAGGCTGCGGCAACATGAAGCTGCGAATTTACGAAAGGATTACAACGAGTTGCAAATTATAATTAGACATCTCCATCATGATTGACTATGATACATATATATATATATTATACGTATATACACACATAATATCGGGTATAACCTGTATAGATATATACAGTCAATATTCATATATCCATTGAGTCCATATACGACCTTACATTAGTCTGTCTTTCTCAGCAGTTCCTCCCACTTGGACGAAGCTTTCGGCACTGGCTGGCACCTTGATGTAGGCCTCTTCATGAGGTCTCACTAAAATCTCTTGTGGCATCCCTCCAATGGATCAACGGAGAAAAGCTATGCAGTCGTGGAACATGGTGGGAAGGGTGCCCATGTCCATCAATATGTTGGGAAGTGGGAAATCCAATGTGTCTACAGTGGGAAATTCGATTCACCAATTCTAGAGGAAATCCGGAATTTCACAGTGCAGAAGTTGCAGTGGTTGTTTTCCGATGTCTTTGCCGCTTTGCTGCAGTGCCAAACTCCTTCCAGTCAGCCCTTTTGGCTGCTCAAAATGGCAGCAGAAATCCCCAGCCGAGCGTCACCATCATCTTGGACTGGTTCTACTTTGTCTCTAGAGTTGCAAATATCTATGGTTTTTGATATCATCATATATCATCATATATCATCATATATCATGATCATCATCATCATCACCATCACCATCATCATTATCATCACCATCATCACCATCACCATCATCACCATCACCATCACCATCACCATCATCATCATCATCATCATCACCATCACCATCATCATTATCATCACCATCATCACCATCACCATCACCATCACCGTCACCGTCATCGTCATCATCATCATCATCATCATCATCATCATCATCATCATCATCATCATCATCATCATCATCATCATCATATAATCATATGTCACCATATGTCATCATACAATTATGCATGGTCTATAAATGATGATAAATTCTCGTATGTCACCAAGCTGACAAAGCTCTTTCGTAAAACCATTTGGGGATGGTTATCGGTCCCAATTCCCTGAGTTCCTATCGACCGAAAAGAAGTCTTTGTTTGACTCGTAAAACCTGACATACCGGGTTATCATCAATCAGATTGAGCACAATATATGTATACTTTGGTAGTATTTTGTGTATTATGATTATATATGACTATATACTGCAATTTATACGGCTCATCTCCGATAACGCCTAACATCTGACTTCTTATCCCAGTGCCACCACGTGTTCTGCGACGCTCCACAGTTCTTTTGCGCCGGAAATTTCCCAGCACTTCACTTCCTCTCAAGGAAGGCCTTAAGGTCGGCCTCTGGGTCTCCCATGTAGATGAAACCAATCTCATCGCCATCCTCAGGGCGAAGGTTACCGTGGTGCAAGAGCGTTCTTGATGTAATGGGGATGTAATATAATAGGGATATGTAATATGTAGTTATAGGTTCTTACTTCATGAGATTTGTGGTGGTTTGATGGTGATATAATGGTGATATAATGCGGATACAACGATTATAATGGGGATATAATTGGATTTAGCATCCCTCAAATTCACAGCCTGACCCTGAGAATTCGCAATTGTTAGAAGTCTTCCAATCCCTTACCGTACCAGTATCCGGCAAGGTCTATGTTGCTTGGGCCGATGGCAAGCTTGATGCACAACCCGTGTTTTTTGTGTGTTTCCGGCCTTGTAGCCGTAGTCCACCACCAGGTCAGTGAGTTTCAACTGCGCATCTTCACTGACACGTTCACCCATCTTCCCCTTGGCCATCAGCATGGAGCCTTCCTTCCTGGGATCCGGGATCTCAAATGGATATGGAAAAAAATTCTGAGAAATTTAAGGAATAGTGCGGGATACCCATCAAAAATAGCTTCTGAATACCAGAAATTATCAGGTTCTGTGGATTTAGGGGAACATTTCAAGGAAACTGCCTGGTGTTTAGGCACCAGCTCCCCGGAGATAGGTGGATAAAGGTGGTTTAGGGACATAAACCAACTTGGACACGTGGAAATCATGAGGTAAAGGTACAGAAAGAAATTCAAAATGGACAACATCATGGGGCCACAAAATCTCTGTTTTTCAAAAAGGTCAATCCATAAGAATGTTGACCCCGGGGCTGTTTCACTGGGAAACCCCATGAATCGACCAAGGGATATCTTAATCTGGCATTGACCTTGCTGATGTCGCTTCTGGATCACTTGGGCAATGGTCAAGTCCCATGTACCCCGAAATGGGATGCTTCACGATGCCAAAACTGATCCATAATACCCACATTCATGTATGTATATATATATATATATTATACAGAAAATAGATGCTGAATGGTCTGTGGCTCCAAGGTTTTTTGCAATATGACTACAGAAATCGTTGCAGACTAATTAGATAGGAAGGTCCTAGATCCACAAATGTCATGCTCGCCGAGTCTCAAGCCGGTGATGCTGCAAAGCAACTTTCTCACTTGTCCTTCAGGGTTTCGCCGGGAGAAAAGCAACCATCAACCATAATTCTTGTTCAAGAATTGAGAATTTAATGGACCAAGGAATTGCATGTTCTGTTCTGCGCAATGGTTTCCCAGTAGATCGACATGACCACACCCTGAACTTTGAAAAAACTATCACTTCCCATCAAAACACCAGAAATCATCAAAACATCTGAGCAAAAACCGATGTTTTCGAGGAATTGGTTTCCGCCTGGCCCCAAGTCATTGGAGGTGCATTCTCAGTCAGACCTGACTAATATATGATTCTAACAAGCTCCTTAAAGTCCTTAAGGTTGTAGATAATAGATATGTGATATGTATGCATACGCATCTGTGTATATATATATACATATATACACAATTATACGCATATACTGTAATTTTTATACTACATACATATAATATATATATATACACATATGTATTAATCCCGGCTATAAATCATAGACTCATAAATACTTAAATGGTATATACCCACATGTATATAGCCATACATCTGGCGGAATTGTAATAATTCACCGACCTAAAAATAGCTGTTCTCATACCTCCAGCTATGGGGATCTCCCGTGAAGATCTTTCCCATCCTCGCCAGGGCGGCGTCCTACCGTCCAATCATCTTTGATCTCCAGCTCCGTCAGCTTCTCTCCCAGCTCCAACGGACTCATCACCACCAATTTCATGGCTTTCCCACCAGCCACCTGCCGTGGCCACCCCCCCGAACCTATGGGCTCCGCTAAGAGGACGGGTAGCGTTGAAACCACGCAATGAAAGCTGGGAGGACAAACCCAGTTTTCATGTTGTTGGTGATATACATGCCATTAAAAACCCACTATGGTTAGTCTTATACCCCCGGGTCTGCTGTTAAAACCCATTCTTCATTGGGAACAAATGTCCACCCCGCGGAGATCCGTGGAATGTAACTTTTCATGGCGGAAATCATCATCGATTGAAATCGTCATTTTGGCTGGTGAAATCCACTTCTTGGTGGTTAAATACATACATTATCCCGTTGTATCCCACTATATATATATATAAACTATTAGGGTTGGTTTCATAGCTCCATAATTTTATTGGTTACATTCACTGTTTGTTGCTGAAACTGAACCGTTTCATGGAGGGTAAATCCATTGAAACTCATCATTTTGGACCAATCCAGGGTGTATATATATTATAAATATGGATGAACTCATATTAAAACCCAATCTTCATGTGCAAAATCCTGGTTTATGTTCATAATCACATAAATCCATTGAAATTCCCCCGGAAATGCTGAAATCCATGGTTAAATCCATGGTTAATCCCAAATTTCCATGGTGAAATCCCTTGAAATCGCCCCAAAAAAGGTCACCCTCCACGGTCGCCATGGCCATTTCGGCACCTCAAAGCTCACATGGTCGCCGTGTTTGAAGCGCTCGCCGATCGCATCGCCAGGTTCCAGCGTGGCATCGCCCGCCTTCACGGTGACGGCCTCTGCCTGGTGCAGCTTGCGAGGGCTATTGGGAAACAACCAATCCCATAGGATCCATGTATGGTATATATGCTAACATTTGGGGTATATTGATGGTAAATGTTACCATATATAGCATATATATATATATACATGGATCCTACGGGAATGGAGGAAAAAAATGGAGATATAGTGGGGATATCATGGAATATTCATGGGATATGTTGGTTGAATATGGTTGAATATGGTTTAATATGGTGGTTTATATAATGGGATTTGATGAGATTTAAGACGCGCAGAGAATGGGAAGAGGATGGGAGGTTCTGACGTCATGGGGGATCTCCAAATCACCATGGTGGTGTCAATACTAAGTCATGGTCATCACGGCTGGATCCTCTGGACTTTGGAAACAACTACAAAGGGTGCTTTAAGCATCAACAATGGGATTTAATGGGATTTAGACGAATATATCCTGAATCAACCAACCATGTCTGGTATATGTATATATATGTGGAACCCAAAACTTGGCTTTGGAAAACAACTTTCCTATTTATCATGGCCATTGCCAAGGCTTCCATGTGGAATTTAGGTGAAACCTCTGGCACCAAGTGGCAACCTCAGCGACAAGCCCAGCGACAGTATCCCCAGCGGTGGTGGGAAGATGTGACGGTCACCAGATATATTTTTTCATATGTTGCAAAATGTGCAAAACCATGAAAATTCAACAAAATTATGGTGGAAAATCAATTTCGACAACTGGAAACAAAAACACAGGCATGTTCTGAATGTTCAAGTTATTGAGACGCACCTTCTAAATCACGTTGTACCCACCGAAAAATCCCTCTGCCAATAACAACCTGTTTCTTTCCCACTTGTAATTGGTATGGGTCAAAATGATGACGTTCCAAAACCAAACAACATTAAAGCCCTAAACAATTGACTCGCCCTCTGATCTCTGTGAGTCCGTGGGTAGCTTATGAAAGTTGACTCAAACCCAGTGTCCAACGGCCTTGACTCCATAGAGCATCCCGAGCACGATCCTGATCTCAGCCCCCGTGGTCTTGGGAAAGGCCAAGAACTCCTCCGGAGGAACCGCGCGTGCAAATCCGATGGAAAAAATGCGAAAAAGGGACCGACTGGAAACAAACAAATGGGGTCCAACAAGATCTGATTTCCATGTTCTTGGGTGAAACAAAATCGAATGTACATATTTGTATATATTTGTTGGTTATGGATGTCTTGTCTTCCATCATGTCACAACCTCAGTTCCAACATGCAAGGAAAAAATGGGTGTTTTCCAGTTCGTGGCGAAATGAAATCGAGGGTTGCTGCGGGGTGCTGCCTGCAGAGTCGAATGGAATCACCGGTTTCCAAAAACACCTTGGAGATCTTGGAAGGATGTTGGATTTTGCAAGCAGTACCATGGCAACACCATGGTTGATGTAAGTGTTTGATACTGTTTGTGCAATGGAAAGCCTGCAGTTTTCATCAAAATTGTCACATTTCTTTGTGCTAGGAAGAAACAAACATCAAAATCACATCCTCCATTCATCACCCATTAATGATAAATGGTTATAGTTAGCTATCCAATATAATTGGGACTAATTAAAGGGATGAATGGATCATATATCATCATATATCATCATATATCCCTCCAAACTGCGACCTGCGCCCTTGCCGGGAGCCTTGTCGTTGGTGCTTCCATCCCATGCTTTCAAGGCATCCGGTCTCAGCGCCTCACAGGCACATCGGGGTCATGGGCGGTCAACACCATGGGACCCGGAGCCCGGAGCCTAGGTGCATGGCGGTTGGATGATGACATTCCCCAGTCTGCCATGGCAAATTCTGTTGCTGGTTGGTGGTTTCAACCAACCCCTCTGAAAAATGATGGAGTGAAAGTCAGTTGGGATGATGACATTCCCAATGTGATGGAAAAATATAAGCCATGTTCCAAACCACCAACCAGATAGGTTTTGTCCCATCCTCATTTGGCAGCCAGCGCGGGCCTTCAGGATCATGGGGGCACCATCCTGAAGCTGAGTCTTGCACCCCCACGGTGCACTAGAGAAGTTCAAAAAGAAACAAAGAAACAACGTTGCCATACAAGCCATGTTGAGCATGCAAAGGTGATGGCTAAAATCCCCACAGTGCCAGCGCCTGAGACCTGTGACGCCCACCACCCACCAACCGCAAACTCTAAAAGCTCTAAAAACACAACAAAAATACCAACACATCAAACAACTTCCTTAAAACATCTTAAAACATCAAAGCCTCATCTTCAATACCCCTGAATCTTCTCAGAAAACCACATCAGTTCCAAAAAAACAATCCAACCCCCCAACCCCAACCAATCCCATCCCGATGTCCTCCACATAGGCCTTCTGCAAACACGGCCCAGGCGTCCCGAAGCCACTCGCGTCGATCATGACGTAGCCGGGCTTCTCGCCCGCGCCGCTGTCGCCGCTGGACACGTCCAGCTCAACCCAGAAGCCGCCCGTGGGGCCTTTCCTGGCGAAGCATTTTATGGGAGATGTTAGGGGCAATCTTACGGAAAAAATATGTACATATATATATATATATGTATCCAATCATATAATTACATGTGCATGTATATAATATATATATATATACATATCACGTTTGATATCGTTTTATAGTTTATGTCACATATCATGATATATGAGTGTGTGTGTGTGTGTGAAAATGGTTTTTCTTTGACATTTGCTTATGAAACTAAAATTGTTTATGACATTGGTTTTAACTGATGTTTATTCAATTATGGCATATCTTCTGGGATATGTTATGATTTAAAGGTATATTTTATGGGATATGTTTATGAGTTTATTAATGGGATATGTTATAGGAATTATCATAGTAGGTGTGCCTGAAAATGTGTGTATGTATACCCCAACAGTGGTGCTTTCAATCAACTAGAATGAAGGTTGCAACCAATAATCAACAGCACTCACTAAACAGAGGTGATCTTACCACGGAATACGGGGATGTAAGCACTGGAAGCAGCATTCAGTTGGGCTGAACCAACAGGTGTGTTTTGCAGCAGCAAAAAATGGTTTCAACCAACAAAGAGAGAAGGAATCATGGAGAAAGTACAAAGGCGGGGTGAACCAACATGTAAACCTAGTAAGAAACAACAAACAATAGCGCTTCATAAGCCCCATTCATAGGGGTTGATGGCGGTTAGCAACCTGATATTAAGGTCCTTGATTGGCGGCGAATAACATCGATGATAATGGGTTATTGACAATTGACGCACAATGTAATACCCATTAGGTCAATCAACCTTCATTCAAACTGACAGATTCCAGGCAACGAGCAGTCATGTGAGCTTGCGCAAACATAACAGATACCGGGGTTGCTACACAAAGAAATGCACATAGGGCTCAATCAAAAGACATTGCGAGAGCTAAAAAATGGAATAGTGAATAGTGGAAAGTTGGTGAGAATGGGATTTGACCAACACAAATGGTCACAGGGAGGATTGAGAGAATGCAAACAACTGGATTGAAAGAACATGCAATGATTACCAAACATGTGAGGGTTCAAGCGACAAGCATTGCAAGCCTACAGTACCTCAAAAAAAGAAAGAAAATGACTAATGTTCGCTAATCTTACCATTCTTATGTGGTATAAACCAACAAAATATATCTGGTTGGTGGTTTCAACCCCTCTGAAAAACTCATCATCCCAACTATTGGGGAAAATAAAACATGTTCCAAACCACCAACCAGTATATGTGTGGTTAATTTTGCTTTACGCCCAGTCGAGGCACCAGATCTTGCCAGTGGTGTGGACCACAGCACCCACCTTTCGGTTCAGCTGCAAGATCTTGGCACTTTCAGGATCGCTCCCAGCTTTCCTGGCGATGGACGGAGAACAGAGAACTGATTGGGTACCCAAAAAGCTCGAAAATCCTCTATCAATGGAGGATTTCCCAGCTGGCTATGTTTGATCTATTGATTACCAGTACCGGAGGGTAAATTCACCTGACTAGAAGAGCCAGTGGGGATCATTCGGGATCATCATCCCCAATAGTAGTCTTTGTATATTGGTGGTATGTTGCAAAGAAAGCATGAACCCAAGCTAGATTGTACATGCCCAAAATCTATAGCAAAAGATTCATGTCTGAAACTATCCATCCCAAATTTCCCTGATGTTGTGGGTATATCCACCATTTCAAATGGTTAACTCCCCTACCCGTGACATACGTGAATTCCACCTCAGGTTTCAAGTCTATCGTAATTTTTCCAGGGGAACAAACAAGGCGCAATGGTGCTTCATAATCGACTGGTGAAAGGAGCAGGTTCACTCTTCCAACCAGGGCGGCTGACTACGTTCGAGCTCCCTCATCAGAATCTCTCGCTCTTCTTCCGGAGAGACTCCCCATGGAGCCAATCCCATTCCCTGGCGGTTGCGGCCAGCTTCATTTCGAACCAGCATGTTGCGGAGATGAGCATCTATCCAATCTACACGCAATCTGGACTTGGCGGCCGTCAGCAGTCACGTTCTCTGATGCAACGATGTGGGGGGCATCAACACGTGCAAAGTTATATTGCGTATCAGCTACAATGCCGTTGGCTCCGAATTGGCACTTCGCAACTTCCACGCTCGCCCCTCTATAGAGATTGAACACACAGCCGATTCGTTGACTCAACGAATGCTGGTCAGTGGTCGAAACAGGCGATTGGAGTTGTGCTGCCATCCCGGGCCCAATGAAGTCAGCAATGCAGGACTTGACGGATCTCGGCAGCCGGGCAAAGGCGAGCAACGCAAAAAGCTCGATGTGAGGCTGCGACCCACCACATGAAATGCGCAAAAACACACATTGCTTGGCAACCAAGGAGGTATCTTCACCAACCGTAATTCCAACTATACGCCCATCCTGGATGATGCACCGCTCTAAGGTGACATGGGTTGGTGTCGACCCTTGAGTGGTTGTACCAGAAAAAGAAACAGGGTACAAGCTCATGACGGTGGCGGCTCCATCTCTGGAAAATGACGCTCCCAAGGCAGTGAAGGCATCCCAAGTTGGTGTGGGGGAGCTCTGATAGTACACTTGCTGATTTGCTAGTCTCCTGAGATTTGCTCAAGAGGGCAGCGCAGCTTGCCAAGGACGGCCAAATTTTCCACAGCTCCTCCATCTCCAGCACAAGGCATTGGCTGTATCCACTTACATCCTCAGAGAACGCGAGTTCAGCGCCAGTCTGTCCGCAAAATGTGTCATTCGTTTCCGGCACACATAGACAGCTTCTGGGCTTATATTCAGCTCTTCACACGCAACAACTCCGACCTTGAGAAGATGCGTATCCACATGCTGGCGCCCAGAGATCAGCACTCTGTCCCCATCCCTGGCTTCAATGGAACAGTCGCCCAGATCGTCTGGAAGGACTATGGTAGGCCACCATGATGAAAATGAGGACACGAACGACCAAACTCTTGCGCGAAGAGTACATGGCAAAGGCAAGTTGCAGGTGAGAAGCAGCTTCTCTTTCCGAGACATGGCGCGATGGCTCAATCTGACCTGCTCAGTTCTCCTTTCCATCTGATCACTCCGGGGGTGCATCCTAGAATGTCTCAATGGTTAGTAACCCCTGTATGATCCATGCATAAACCATACAATACCTATAACGGGGCTATGGTTATTCCCCACCAAGTAATGGATGCACATCCAAGCATACTTCTTTGCTAAAAACAGTGGCTTGAAAAGCTGTTGAAATTGCCATTTCCAGAGGTTGCTGCAACCCTGTGAAACAAGAACTTTGGATGGTCTCAAATGTGTCATTCCTGGCATACGCAAAACTACTGTTATAGGATATCTGTTAGGATACATTGGGCACTTTGGCTATTCACGACAGCATCATGGTGTTGCGGGCATAGTTCTCACCTGTAATTGTGAGGCAACTCCTCCTCTGGAGCCATCAAATGCCGTCATATGGCTACTCTCTCAAAATCAAACGCAATGGAAAATCTCTGTTTTTGAATATCTTCATAGGAACATTATATGTTTTTGGGCCATTGTCCTTCGCCAATTACCAGCGCGTATCATCAGTTGTAATCTCAATTTTTGATGATGAGGTCCGACTCTATTGTATATAGGGGCGTGTCTGAAAATGGGGTATACCACCCAAATTGCCATGTTCTAGGGAAAAGACTGCTAATCAACCATGGGATTTGCAGTGGTTTTCCCAGCATTTTCAGGTACCAAACTCATATAATTGTGGTAATCAAACATGGCAATGGACAATCCTGTATGAACTTGAGAGGGAAGGGTGAAAGATCGAAAGGTAGGCGTGGGTTGGAACAGGAGAAGAGAGCAAGGGAACGAGGCATATCCGCTGCGGACGGACGTGGGTGGAGTTGGGGCGGATATCGAAAAAAGTCTTCTGGGCTTGGACTCGAGGGCGGGTACCAAAAAGGTAGGTTTCAGGGAGGGGGGACACGACACACACACACAGACACACAGACATATATATATATATAAATACATACATATAGTTAGATATATGTATAAATATCAGGTTATGGGGTTTGCGAGGCAACGTGTAACTGGGGGCAGCACATTGTTGCAACGCGGATGGGGTTGATTCTGGTGTGTACATGTGTAGAACAGTGTGGGATTCACAAACGTGGTGTTTTGACCCCAGCATGTACCCAAAGCAACTGACTTAGGGCTATCATGGGCTATCCTGGTGCTGGAATCTTGGTGCAAAAAGTGGGCCCGCGGGGTGACTTCTTGCAAACGCGGCTTTAGAGGCGGACCTTGGGGGAATCGAAGGGGGGGGTTCAATATAGTTGTGATAATTATGTTCTAGTTATTATAGTAATTCTAGTCATTATAGGTGTTCTAGTTATTATACATGATAACTATATATATACGAATATACATATATATGAAACATATTGAAATGTCATTAGCGAAGTCTTTTGGTTGAAGAGAATATCTTGGAGGAACCCTTGCGGAAAATCCACCAAATGATCTAGATATGCTGAGCAAGGGGCAGCGATTATGCTTCGGCAACCACTAGCCAAAGCGCAATATCCCACAATTGCTGGGTAGAGTATGCATATATATATATATACGAATCTATATGTATATTGAGATTATTTAGTATATATATATATATCATGGAATTATTATGTGTATATATATATAGATACATATCTTTAAGTATATTGTCGAAGGAAGTTGAGAAGCTAAACTTCCGACAATATGGACAGATGAAAAGCAGAGCAGGGCAGAGGCAGAGAGAAGAGAAAGTTCAGAAGAGAAAGAGTCAGAAGAAAGAAGATGCAGATGCGCGAAAAGGTAGGAAAGTCGCGATTCACTGTGTTTTTCCAATGATTTGTGGTTCCGGAGGGTCGAAAAGTAGGCTCGCTAAAGCGGCGGGTGCGGAGACATATGGGGAGATGAGACATGAAAAATTGCACGCCGTTGTGGCGCGAAGCACATTTCCAAGTCAAAATGCACAAAACACCAGAGGATCGGACCACTTTTGGCGCTTCAGATGTCGAAAAAGTGCACGCCGTTGTGGCGCGAAGCACATCCCCAAGTCAAAATGTACAAAACACACCAGGGTCTGACCACTTTTGGAAGTTGCGATGTCGAAAAAGTGCACACCGTTGTGGCGCGAAGCACATGTCCAAGTCAAAATGTAGAAAACACACCAAGTGCGGACCACTTTTGGCACTTAAGATGTCGAAAAAGTGCACGCCGTTGTGGCGCGAAGCACATTTCCAAGTCAAAATGTTAAAAACACTCGGGGTTCGGACCACTTTTGGAGGCTCAGAGGTCGAGTTTCGAAAAAGTGCACGCCGTTGTGGCACGAAGCACATTTCGAAGTCAAAATGTGCAAAACACCAGGGGTTCGAACCACTTTTGGAGGCTCAGAGGTCGAGTTTCGAAAAAGTGCACGCCGCTGTGGCGCGAAGCACATTTCGAAATCAAAATGTACAAACCACACCATGTTCGGACCACTTTTGGAGGCTGAGATGTCGAGTTTCGAAAAAGTGCACGCATTTGTTCGGGACCACTTTTGGAGGCTGAGATGTCGAGTTTCGAAAAAGTGCACGCCGTTGTGGCGCGAAGCAGATTTGGAAGTTAACATGTTAAAAACACTAGGGTTTCGGACCACTTTTGGCGGTTCAGATGTTGCTTCGCTTAACTCGACTACACTACATGACACTACACTTTGCTGCACTACACTACATTACACTACATTACATTACACTACACTTCACAACACTACAGGTTACAACTACAACTACACAACTACAGTCCACTACAGTCCACTACACTAAATTACACTGCACTACACTCTCTACACTACACTTCACTACATTACACTACACTACACTCCACTACACTACAAATACAACTACACCTACCCAACTACACTCCACTACACTCCACTACACAACATTAAACTACACTACACTACCTTACACTACACTACACTCCACAACACTACAACTAAAACTACACAACTACACTCCACTACACTACACTACCTTACACTACACTACATTACACTACACTAGACTCCACTACACTACACTACATTTCACTACACTACACTACCTGCCGCTACACTTCACGACACTACTCTACACTACACTCCACTACCACCTACAACTACAACTACACTCCACTACATTACACTACATTACACTACACTACATTACACTGAATGACACTGCACAAAAGATAGACAGGTAGACAGCTAGACAGATAGATAGATAGATAGATAGATTAGATAGATATGATAGATATGATTGATAGATAGATAGATAGAGGGATAGAGGGATAGAGGGATAGAGGGATAGAGGGATAGAGGGATAGAGGGATAGAGCGCTAGATCGATAGATCGATAAATCGATAGATCGATAGATCGATAGATCGATAGATCGATAGATCGATAGATCGATAGATCGATAGATAGATAGATAGAGAGATAGATAGAGAGATAGACAGATAGATAGACAGATAGATAGATAGAAAGATAAGATAGATATGATAGATATGATAGATATGATAGATATGATAGATATGATAGATAGGATAGATAGGATAGATAGGATAGATAGGATAGATAGGATAGATAGGATAGATAGGATAGATAGGATAGATAGGATAGATAGGATAGATAGGATAGATGGGATAGATGGGATAGATAGGATAGATAGGATAGATAGGATAGATAGGATAGATAGGATAGATAGGATAGATAGGATAGATAGGATAGATAGGATAGATAGGATAGATAGGATAGATAGGATAGATAGGATAGATAGGATAGATAGATAGATAGATAGATAGTTAGATAGATAGATAGATAGAGGGATAGAGGGATAGAGGGATAGAGGGATAGAGGGATAGAGGGATAGATCGATAGATCGATAGATCGATAGATCGATAGATCGATAGATCGATAGATCGATAGATAGATAGATAGAGGGAGAAATAGATGGATAGATGGATAGATGGATAGATGGATAGATGGATAGATGGATAGATGGATAGATGGATAGATGGATAGATGGATAGATGGATCGATGGATGGATGGATGGATGGATGGATAGATGGATAGATGGATAGATGGATAGATGGATAGATGGATAGATGGATAGATGGATAGATGGATAGATGGATAGATGGATAGATGGATAGATAGATAGATAGGTAGATAGATAGATAGATAGATATGATAGATAGATAGATAGACAGGTAGACAAGAGTGAGAGAGATCAATCGCCTTTCAGTCCAGCAGTGGCTTCGCTCTGCCATCTCTGATTCACAACAACCAATCTCTCCTATAGGGTTCCTATTTTTGAAACTTCCGCCACCGCCTTGTGCGGTACTACTGGTATATCATGTACGATTTTTGAGACTACTGCAACGCAGTCCGTCGCAACGTTCTTGCTACGACATTGTTCATCGCGGTTGTTAGGGTGAACGAAACAAAGTTCTTGAGCAATCTGACATTGTCGAGTTTCAGTGAGGGTCTTGACTTCGGTTGGGGTGGGGATGTATGTAAACGTGGTGGATGAAAGTGCATGTGCGGCTGTTGGCGTTTCCTTGTAGTCCGCCTATGTTGCAAACCCGGCTTTAGAGGCGGACCTGGGGGGAATCGAAGGGTGGGGGGGGGGCCCCCCCCCCTTGAAAGGCGGACCGAGACATAACCGGCCCAAACTCTTGCACTTGCACCGCTCGCCCCCTAATACTTGCTACGCAAGGGGGAACTCAGGTAGCTCACCGCTACCTTTCGAGATAAATTTTAATGACGACTTTAATGGTAAAATCAATGAAAATACTCCTGGGACTCCCCTTTTTCCTTGCCAAAATCGAAAAAAACAGATGGTTTGTCTGAAAATTTAAGGAACCCCCTAATTTTCCACTTGGTTCATTTTTTTTTAAGATGAAACTTGCCATTTGCCTGGTACATCTCCCCCCATTTTCCCCATCTTTGGCCAACGTCTTGCCCCGCCAAGGCGCTTGAAGATGGGACCCAAAGTCACGAAGTAGTCCCCTTCCCTCAGCTCCTGTGATGGGGGTGCCGTGATTGATTTTTAGTGTAAAAATAATGATAGATATTTTCTAGTATTTTCCAGTGATATGATTTTTAGTATTTTTTAGTGATATGATCCATACTATGGTTATAATGATATTATGTTCTACTACTATACACTACTAGTTAAGAATCGTATGTATAGTGTAAGAATAGTTCGTAGAAAATAATACCATTATAGCCATACAGGATCATAACTAGTGTACTCTAACTATTTTACACAATAATCGTTAGTGGATGCATAATGGAAAATTAGGGAAAATAGTTAATGATACTTAATACTGGTGAATAATAATGGATGATAATGGATGACAATATTGGCTAATAATGTTTCATAATGGTTGAGAATGGAAAAATTACCAGCGATGATGGATTAATAATTGGAACGGGGTGTCACAATGATGCCCTCAGTTTTGTGAAGAAATTGCAACATCTTTTGGCAACAATAGTATCGGGTCATTTGTTACGTAGCTATGTAAGCCATGACTCATTTAGTTCAATGATTCCCCCCCTGCCAGGTGAGGGTCTCTAGATTTTAATAAAGGTGCGACTCCTCCTCCGTCTTCTCCTTCTCCTCCTTCTCTTTCTCCTCCTCACCGCCTCGCCTCCTCCGTCTCCTCGGCCGTCTCGTTGTCCTTTCCCTCTGCCAGCTCCTAGTGCAGTGGAGGGCACCTGGACCCGAACACATGCCACAGAGAATGTCAGAATAGATGCCAGATAGAATGCCAGATGGAATATCAGGTATATCAGATATATAGAATGCCAGAGAGAATGTCAGAAAGAACGTCACAATAGATGCCAGAAACTATATCAGAATGGATGTCAGATAGAATGTCAGAATAGATGCCAGAAAGAATGTCAAGAATACATGCCAGATAGAATGCCAGAATAGATGTCAGAAAGTATGTCAAAATAAATGCCAGATAGAATTCCGGAAATCATGTTAGACAGAATGTCAGAGTATATAACAAAAAACAATGTCAGATAGAATGTCAAAATATGTATGCCATATATGCTTCCAGATGATATGTCAGAATAGTGTGTCAAGGTGAGGATCACTCGCAGTAAAGTAATTTAGTGTTTTTAAACATGCTGATTTTTCAGTATGTTAAATTACCAGAGGGTATATTGCTATACCTAGTTATACCCCATATAAATTACAATTTGTGTTGGTTAAATCCCATGAAAATCGCCATTGTTGTTGGATGTGGGCCCTTGGAACAGGCCATCAAATGCTGGCTTCGGGTCGCACAACCTTTCGAGATCGTTCAAGGCTCACTTGGAACCCCAAATCTGTGGGTCATGTGGCACCAGGGCTCTGAAGTTTGGACATTTTCGGAATTGATTTGCTTCCGCTTGCAGGCTGTTCGGAATTCGCATATTGTTTGGGTACCTTTGACGGGTGGCAGCAAGTTTCCCGCAGCAAACGATTTGTCAGCACCCAATATTCCTTCCCATAAACCAAGTGCGAATTGCATCCAATTGCTGGTTTGGGCTGGTGGTTTGCAATTTTCAAAACCCCGCTATGATCGCTATGTGAAATCCAAACTACATTCCAGGAATCCCAAACGTGGACGAATCCCATACCCAATCCAATGTTCCCAGTATGTCCCAGTCTATGATTTCATCCCCTACATCTGGTTTCTGGCAGGGTGTTGAATATGAATGGGGGAATGGATGGGAATAGATTATTAAGCCATTAATTATTCATAATCACCATTAACTATATAGTTTTTAATGGCGATCAATTGTAGTTGGTTAGCTATGAATACTATATCCTCTTGATACCCTCTGGTAATTTAACGTAGCTATAGTGAAAATGGCAATTTATAGTGGGTTTTTCCATTAAAAATGGTGATTGTCGATATATTTTTTGAAGGTTGGCATGCCCGCAGTAGGACTCTCCCCCCTTTCCCCCTCTCCTTGGGACCGGCTGCCTTCGCCGGAGCATCGTCCTTGCGGATCAGAAGGGCCTGGCGGAGCGAGTCAACAGTTGGAATCCCAGAATCCCATGGGAAAATCGCCATTTTCAATGGGAAACCCCTATATTTTGATGGGAAAACCATGGTTTCCTTGTAGATTTTCCCTTCAACCAATCCAGTGATAAAGTGATAAATATGTTTAAGAGGTGAATCATCAGAAATGATCTATTTCTATGGGCCATTTTTCCATAGCTATGTTGAATACCCAGAATGTAGAATTGCAAGAAATGGCCAAGTTCGCGTATCCGATGCTATTCCGCCCCATCATGAGACAAACCCAAGTGCCCAAGTGCAAAACTTGTTGGTTCTATCCCCATGGTTCTTCCATTTAATCAAAAAAATATGATGTGATCCCCTCCTAAAATACCCCCTATCGTATCCCCTATCCGCCGCTCCATGCGGCACCTTGTCCTTCAGGCTGATGCTGACCCATCCGGTCTTCGGCCCTTCGCCGGACCGCAGCTGGTACTGCAAGCGTTCACCCACCAGCTGCAGCTCCTCCACCACTGCGCCGGTGCTCAGGCGCTCGGGAAGCTGCTCCTAGGGGCCGATGCCAGAGATTTTCCGGGGGAAAAAAGCTGGGAAAAATAGCTAGCTATTCTTTTTTCATCTTTTGGTGCCCTGCTCATTTTAAGATAATTTCAATATTCCTCAAAGATATAAGATTTTTTGCAACATGAATGAGTACATCAAAGGAGATGGTGACAAGCATGGAAAAGACACCAAAATGTATGACAAATAAAGAAAAACTAAGCGGGTGGTAGATTGATTCTCCCCCTGAAATCAACGGATTGAAAAATCCAGCACTTGTTGGCACAATTAGCCCATCTTCTGCTGAAGAGTTTGGGCTCAGTGTACACCAAGTTACCCTCTGGTAGTCAAACATTAAACAGGCAATGGACACCCCCCCATTGATTATTGATGATTATTGATGATTATTGTGTGTGCTCCATCTAAATGCCAGATTTAGAAGGAATTTCCCAGCCAGGCTTGACTATTGGAGGGTAGCAGTGAACCCCCATGGATCCCATTTACGAGTCGCCGAGCAGCACTGGAAGTCCCTTGTCCAGCGCGCACCAAAATGCCACCCTTGTCACCACCGCCCACCACTTCCCAGCACGCCATGGGACAGGGTGGGATGGTCGATCTGGATGGCTTGTGCTGTCCTGGACTGAGTAAACCGACTCAAACCAGTGGAAAACCGTTTTCCAAGTATGTGCACATGTTTCCTGGCAATTTGTCCGGTAATGTCCAAGATACGACCGGTCGGCAAAAGAAGTGTAGATTAAACTGTTGACAAGGTTTGAAGACAAGGTTTGAAGACTGTTGTCCGCGATGTCTTTCATTTTGCTCTTTTGAAAGCTTGCAGGTCAGCGGGTATGGAACCTGGCACCCTGGCACTGGTTTCATCCGATGGTCACATGGATGTTGATTCATTCCCAAATGACAGCCCATTGACGTCCAATTTGCTGCGTTTGGTACTATTGCTCCCGCATGTCTCAGCTGTATTTGGCTCGAGCTACAGCAATTTGCGGATGAAGCAGCGTAAAGAGTTCGTGTTGACCAAAAATGCGGGGAACGACATCCTGAGTGACGCGGACTCCTTTTCAGGTGCTCTGAAAAGCAGGTGTCATTTGAAACTGGCAGCCATCATAGCATTTGCGCCAAAACATTCACAAATACCCTTTGGTAATCTAAACGAATTTAACAGGCTATGGAAAAACACCGTGTTAAATTTGTAAATCCTCAAACAGTACGGGCCTAGAATCAATAATATATATATAATTATATATATAGCAAATTGTTGAATTACCAGTATGACATTCACAAAGTTCAATGAAACCTTGTCAAGATTAAATATTCACGGGCTTGTTGTATAACATTCACACATATTCACAAATGATCTCTGTAGTTCTGCGTCACGACGTCCACAGTTCTTTTTCAACGACGACGTCATGTCCGGTCAAAGACGCAGAAGGTCTCGAGGTGGTCCTGCCACAGGTTTCACCATCAAGGTTTGCTTTACCCCTGAACAAATGGCTGGAATATCATGGGGATTAAAGATGATTATAGTGGGATATAGTGGGTATATGGGGGACATATTGGAATTTACCCTATGAGGGTTTGTGTCAGAATTGGGATACCAACATGGTCAGTGGTCAGCCACGAATTTCTGCAATTGAAGCCCAACATCAAAAATGAGGTGCTGTGATGGCAAAGATTGGGATGAGCATCACCAACCCCCAGAGTCGAAAGTGATGACATGCCACGTCAGCGCTTCAACACGTCGAAGTCAAAAAATCGAGATGTGAATCCTCAACACGTGGCGCAATGAAAAATTTGCCATTTTGGACTATCAGACACCAACACCCTTCAAAATAATTCGCCGGAGAATGTATTCCCGCACTTGTGGCTACCTTCCGGTCATCAAACACGGCAATGGAAACTCCGCCATTCATACATTGTTTTACCATTAAAACCTCCATTTAGTCGATGTTTTTCCAATTACAACCCATTAAATCACAATGTTTCATGGGTGAAACCCATTAAATCATTTTTTTAATAGGATTTCCCAACTATCCGTGTTTCATTGCCGAAGGATCAAATAAACCTCCCAAACCGGCCCTCGGTCCGCCCCAGGAAAAAGGACGAAGCCTTCTGCGTGTGTGACCTGGTGGCCAAACCGTCCACAAAACGATCTGGCAAAAACCTCTGCTTTCCTGAAAAAACATGGCATGCATGGTGAGTTTTCCAGTGACCGTTTGACTCTTGGATTTGGTGCCTGAAGCCTTGGAACCCCATTCCATGAATCAACTTCCCCATGAACATGATTTCGATGATCCAGTTTTAAGGACATATTTGTTTGTATATAATATATATTATGATGACTACTAATGCGAATACCAGAAATATATGTGTACATCATTGTACGTCTATGTGTACATATAGATAGATAGATAGATCGATAGATAGATCGATAGATCGATAGATCGATGATCGATGATCGATAGATAGATAGATCGATAGAATCGATCGATAGATCGAGATAGATCGAGATCGATAGAATCGATCGAGATCGATAGATCGATAGGAATCGATAGATAGAGATAGATAGATCGATAGATCGATAGATCGATAGATCGATAGATCGATAGATCGATAGATCGATAGATCGATAGATCGATAGATCGATAGATCGATAGATAGATCGATCGATAGATCGATCGATCGATAGATCGATAGATCGATAGATCGATAGATCGATAGACAGATAGATAGATAGATAGATAAAATTAGATAGATAGAGAAAATTAGATAGATAGATAAAATTAGATAGATAGATAAAATTAGATAGATAGATAGATAGATAGATTAGATAGAACGAACATGGACACGTTCAAGCTGATTCCCATATTTTGGTGCGTTTTTCCTTTGAAAACTCCATAGATTCCACGGTCCCCACGCTCCGCACCCGCCACTTGGCGTCCATCAACTGTTGGGCGTCGCGACGGAAGGCCGGAAAGCCACAGCTCACCTTCTGGGGTCTCGAGGATGGTCTCAGATGGTTCATGATGTTTTTTTATTACTTTATTTTAAAATATTTATATATATATATATATTTGTTTTTTCTCTATCTATATATATATATATATTTATTTATACATCTATATATATTTATATTTATTTATATATATGTATATATATATATATTTATTTATATATATATATAGCGGACAGTTGTGTGGCAGCATGGCATGGCTGCAGCAGTGCCGATGGTGCAGGTGTGTTCCAGGTCTGAGCTGGTGGACAGGTTAGCCGGTGTGGGCTGACCTGCAGCCAAACAGTTTGCTTTGTACACATATCACGGGGGGCTGTGGGAGTTCGCCCCCAGCCACCTGCCATGGATGCTTCACAAGCTAGTGACAAATATTAACTGATTCAATGGCCCACAGTCTAGAGAGCATTGTGCTCCAGAGTGGGTTCTTTACTAGATTATTCCTGCTAGCTGTGCGAGGCTCTGCTTGGGCAGGGAACAATGGAACAGGCATGTTTCTACCTGGAAAATGAAAAGGAAGGAAAAACACGAAGTGTGCCCGATGGCTCAAGTCTCGCGTGTTGCTGAAAAGGTCATGACAAGCATTCCGTCTGAGAAGTGCAAAAAAAAATTGCTTGAGCACATGATGAAACCTTACAATCGACTCCACGTCCTTCATATCCTATGGCCGACCGATCCGCGCCAAAGTTGGGTTGAACAGGACTTGCGAGATGAATCGTGATGAACAACGTGCTCATTCCAGACTGTGGCAGACTTGCGCTTGCAACATCCATGCTTTTGTCTTTCAATGAAGCCGCTGTGGGAAGCGACGCCAAAAACATCCAGCCAGAGTCGTGTTGCACGGAGTCGAACTCACCAACCACGTGAAGTGCCAAGGCTTTCCCATGCTGACTGCGCTCAGGAAGAGGCCGAAGCCACTCAAAAGTAGAGGTCCACAACCTGCTCCTGCCAGCGTCAGAAAGGAGCCCCACAAGTACACGGGAAGATAAGTGCTTCCATGCTGCTGAAACTGCCCAACCAACAGTCTGGACCGGGCAGAACCGCACCAACCACACTGCTTGAACGAGTAAGCAATGGAAAGGCCCAAACTGGCAGGTCTCTGATCAGGACAGGAAACTCTACAATCCTAGCATCCAAAGAAGAAAGAGACACCATCAGAAACGTAGGCAGCACCGAGAACCATATTAAGCATCATCCAGCGAGAGGAGGAAACGAAATACACTGATTTCCACGGCATGAGTTGAACGAGCTCCCAAACTTCAGCTGACACGGGCCGACCATCTGGTAGGATTTGGGCCGAAACCTCAGGCTGAAGCGTCCATGGCACAGAGGGCTCAGCCCTGTCAGATAAAATAAAACAACACTAGTGCGACAAATCGCAAATCGCGCTTGAGACAAAATGGCCACGGATATATGCATATAAACATATATAATAGGTGTGCATGTATATGTATATGCATATGTATGCGGATTGTTTCTGTATGAATAAATATATATAATTATTTTGTGCATATGTTTATACATATGTGTACTGTATGCATGTGTATGTAATTAATAGTGAAAAATCATCTATAGCTGGGATATTAATGGAATGAATATATAATTGTTACCCTCCTGTAAACGAACAGAGATGTGGAAAATCACCATTGTCGGTCGCTAATTCATCTATATATGGGCCATGTTCTACATTTATGCTAGTTTAGCCCAGGGTAGCATAGCTCTGAAAACCCTACAAGTATGAAGGTTTGAATGGGGAAATCCTCTACACAGGAACCATTTTCCATGGCTATATTAATTAAAGACTTCCCCCCCCAGTCTCTGTATGTATATATATATACGAATATGTGCACAACATATGAAGAGCGATGGATAGATCGATAGATAGATAGGTGGATAGGTGGATTGGTGGATAAATGAAGATAGAAAGGCAATAGATAGATAAACTTTCACCAATCATATGACTCTATTGTTTAGTGTATGCACGTATAATTCCTTAACATAAACGACGAAAAGAAAAATCAAGTCCCACTGGATCGACCGCTGGGAGCCGCACGTAGATCAAGCGTTGCGGTCTCTTCTTTGACCTGGTTCCGAAGGGGCGAAGCTGCGGGAACGGGGATCTAACAGCGTAATATAATTATACTAATTATACATATAACATATGTTATTCTAAGATTAGTTAAGATAATTCTGATTGTATTCAGACCATATAAACATTCGTGGGGGCATACAATGTATAATCTATAGATACTTGATCTTGATAGATTGTGCATACATACGATGATAGATGTATATATATATATATATGACTGCATATGTATACTATCCATAAAAGTGTATATGCCTATTCCATATTCAGAATTACCCTTCTTTCACGGCATATCATCTCGTTGAAATTGCGCACCATTGCTCCAAACACCCCAGGTGATAATAAATTGGGCAAAGGCAATCATTTCCATACAATGTGGGTAAAACAAAAGTTATCCCGGCAAGGGACCCAAAACAATGTGGGGGGTGGGAGGAGAATGTATGATATAATATGACAATGTTGAGGATGATGATGGTGATGATGATGACGATGATGATGATG